ATATATTGGAGGATCTGGACCCAACTCTGTCCCCTGAACTCTTCCCACTGTCTTTCACAAGGATATTTACTTCTCCCCAGAGTACCACCCAGCCAAAACAGACCTTTAAGTTTCTTCCCTCTGACACAAGTAACTTTAAACACTGAAATTAAACTCTTTTCCTCACGATACAAAGCTACACCAATTCAGAGACATTCTAGATGGCATCTCTCCACAGGCAGCCTGTTTCCACTGAGTATTTTTCTGGCTCTCTCGCTGCTCCTTGTAACCAAATAATTCCAAGTGCTTGTACTTGGATTTGCCCAGCTAGACCCAATTCCAGTAACTCTCTTCTTCTTTCTGTTCTTCTTCTATCTTCCAAACTGATCTCCTGATAGTTAATTAGCTGCACCTGTGTCTGGATTTGCACTGTTAATCCTTGCATCCTGCGCAGAGACCAGGTCAGAAAATCTGATCTTCCACCTCATCTTCGTATTGCATGCCCCAGAAATGTACTATCGTCCATCACAATAGGTCAAATACTGATCATGCTATAAATCTAATACCAACCTGTCTTCATAGCTAGAGATACTCAGACTTTCCAAACTGGTAGAAACCTCTCAAATTGCTTTAGAAAAGCCAGAGGTACTAGGTAACTGAGAGGGCAGGCATTAAGAAATTAAAAGCAAAAGTAAAGTAAAAACTTAAAAAAAATAGTTATTTGGGACCCACTGATTCCTGGCACCAGCAAAACACCTCATAAGTTTCTAACTACATTGTTGCTATCTAATATGTTTATCCAGTTACACAACAGAAACAATGCCATTTGACTTCTGTGACCAATTGCAAACAAGCAATGCATCTCAAATTTCACATATCAAATAGTGACTAGAAATCCTGAAAGTAAATATTATTGAAATATGTCATCTAGCTATTGCACTTAACAAATCTGAGATCTGTTTGAGGACATTCTTCTAAGAGAAAGAAGCTAAATTTGTTGAATAAAGTATAATTAAATAATTTATTAAACTTCAGTATTAATTGTTTGTTTCATTTGTTGTTAAAAGATTGTTTAGAGTGAATTCTTCCTTGTGTAGAGAGCCAACACACGGGTTGCATTCCACTTATGTTGTATTTTGGGAGCTTAACTGGGATTTAAATGTGCATGAGTTCTGTACTGGTCCTCAGCACTGCATTGTAACAAAAGCAAAAATAAGGCATTTCCATACCTATGTACTGTATATTTGTGAAAGTTTGATGGTTCTTAATGATGATTCAAGAGATCCTTCTTGAAAAGGGACAGATACTAAATTGTATCCTTTTTTTTTCTTCCTAAGATGATTGTTTTTAAAATGTATGTTTTCTTCTAATAGCTTTTACATTTTGTCCATAAAAGAAAATCACATACCGTCAGTCATCCTTTCAGAGAAAGCCTTATGTGTTGTAAAAATATGCCCAATTTACCATACTATTTGTGCAGTGCTGCCAGTTTTTAAGATTTCATTATTCATCACAAAGTCAAATCTAATCCTTTCACTGTTTGGTTTCCTCACTATAACTGCAATTAATATGTCCTTGATCTCACTCTTGTATGTGCCTTCCTTTTTATCAACATTTGGCAGTGCTATACCTTCTGTGTTGCTATAGTTCTGCAACCATTTACAATGAAATATCTTAAGCATGTCTGTGTGACAGCCTCTATGGATATAAAAATAGTGTTGTTCGGTTTTATTGTAGTGCTTTTCAATATTCTTATCTGGATTTGATACAATTCTTCATTGCACTAAGATTTCTATAGCTTGTCATGCAGCATCAGCATCCCCAGTTGGAAATCTGACTTGACCATTTGTTATTACATAGCTGTTGTATTATGGGGAGGTCATTATATACTACTGAGGAAAAGCATGTACCATTTAGCAATCAGTCATGTATGGCTCTAATGGCAGAAATCATTTCACTTCCATTTAGTATTAAAAGATATTGAATTTGTTACCTCAGTGGTCCTGTAAATAACTGCTCGACGGTCCATTAAATGATAAACACCAAAATGTCTGAAAGGATATATTTTGATTCTTAAAACATGTGTTTTTAATGTACCACTGTGATCTTTTAGCCCTTACTATTTCTTTGTGAAATGACCTGTGAGGTTTGCACTGGAGATCTGAAGACACAATTGTATTTCATCAGCCCTAGTATTTAGAGTTTTCTTGTTAACAAAGCTAATTATTCCCCATGGTTGTGTTATACCATTTTCACTATCTGGATGCTTTGATTTTTGTGATCAGGAACATAAAGTGTGACAGGGTCGGGCCAGATGGCTACAGGAGAGTAATAGAAGGCAGACATATTAGCCCCAGGCTAAGTAGGTCCCTTTTCCCTGTGTAAGGTAACAGGGAAGGTTCCAGGACAATCAGGAACCTTCTGGAGACAATTAAGACAGACAGGCTGATTAAAACACCTGCAGCCAATCAAGAAGCTGCTAGAATCAATTAAGGCAGGCTAATCAGGTCACCTGGATTTAAAAAGGAGCTCACTTCAGTTTGCAGTGCGTGGGTGAGGAGCTGGGAGCAAGAGGTGCTAGGAGCTGAGAGTGAGAACGCATACTATTGGAGGACTGAGGAGTACAAGCACGATCAGACACCAGGAGGAAGGTCCTATGGTGAGGATAAAGAAAGTGTTGGGAGGAGGCCAAGGGGAAGTAACCCAGGGAGTTGTAGCTGTCGCACAGCTGTTCCAGGAGGGACTCTAAACAGCTGCATTCCATAGGGCCCTGGGCTGGAACCCAGAGTAGAGGGCAGGCCCGGGTTCCCCAAACCTCCCAACTCCTGGTCAGACACAGGAGGAGTTGACCTGGACTGTGGGTTCATGAAAACAGCCAAACTGAGGGCTGCTGTGAAGCTCCAAGGTGAGCAAATCTGCCAATAAGCACAAGACCCACCAAGGTAGTGGAGGAACTTTGTCACAAAAGATAACAAGTCAATGGCATAAACCCTAGCAAAATGTAGAGTTGATATTCCTCTTCCATCAGACCAGTTTTTTTTCCTGTCCCTGGTCTTGTGGTTACGGTACTGGCATGGGATTCTGAAGGCTGATTCTACTACAGATCTCCAGTGTGACCTTGGGCAAGTCACTTGATTTCTCTGTGCCTCCATTCTCAGTAAAATGTGGATAATAATACCACCTTTCTCCTACCACTCGTCTATTTACACTGCAGAGTCCGGGGAGCAGGGACTGTTTTACTCTTAGTACGTTAAAACTAAGAGTGTGATTCCCAGGTTGTGTAGACATAGCTGTTCTAGCTCTCATCTAAGCTAGCACATTGAAAATAGTAGTGTAGCTGTGGTAGCATGGGCAGTGGCTATGTGTGCTAGTAGCCCTGAGTATGTACCCACAGAGTTCAGGCAGATTTGTGCTAGCATGGTGCCATTACTTCTGCTGCCCAGCTACCATACAGTTATGCTACCATTTAGCATCCTAACGCAATGGAGAGCTAGCACAAGTATGTCCACTTGAGCTGGGAATCGCACCCCCAGCTTGTAGTGTAGGCATGGGCTTACCCCAACTCCTACTCAGTTTGCATACTGCCCATCAAAATGGGGCACCAATGTTAGCTGAGGCCTCCCGGTGTTATCAAAATATAAACAATATCCGCAGTAAGGAGACCACAATATGTTCTCCATCCTTTTCTTAGCCATAAGGAAACTTCATTGTAGCTTATGACCGACCTGTAGCATGTAGGGTTACCCAGATACTTGTAGGGGTTTTTTTTCTGTTTATCTAAGCAAATATGGGGGGGGGAGCTGATAGATGATCAACAATTATAAAAACAAAGTTTATTGGGGTCATGATTCATCCAGATCAAGAAAATTGTTCAAGCCCTTGGCTGCTGTCTGTTACACTGGATGGCACTAGATGATTTGGTAATATCCTACCTGGATTCCCTATTATGAGAATTACGTTTATATTCTGCTGCATAATATCACCATTATTTACATATGTCCATTCTACATCCAACTAAAACACATTTTGTATTTTGTGATAGCTAGTGCTTTTTGCTCTTAGGTCATTGGGAAATTGATGCTCTGTCTAAAAATCCCTATAGTGAGTTACTAAACATTTCATGTGTGTGAACAGGTCACACTTTCTTCCTCTCTGTTCTTTCCCTATTTGATCTCTAGGTCACAAGGTGTAACGCATACTCTGCAGGCTTGATGATGTGTAGTCAGACCGGATAGATCTAACTACATTCATTTTACCTGTAACCTGACTTCAGTTCATGAAAACAGAGTGTAAAAATGCACTACTCCTACAGCTGTGTGGAGGGACATATCCCTCCCCATCCCCTAATCTGTTGCCGCTCTGGTTTAATTCTATTGGCTCACCAATATATTTAGGCACATAACATCCAGACTTCTGGCTGTGGTCCCTCTCCTTCAACTGCAGCTCCCATCAAGTCACCCAGCACTTCTCTCTCTGCTGTTCTCCCCCTCCTCCCCGCCTTTCCTGCCTTCTCCCTTTGTTTCCAGAGTGCTGTCCCTTAAGAGAGAAAGAGGTCCAGGGCCATATATTATCACTTGGGATGACAAACACCCACATTTAAATTTGCAGGTTGTATGTGGCTTTTCACATTGTCTGAAGAGGACGTTAATTTGTATAGAGTTGTAAACGAAGTCCTGGAACCCTGTCCTGAAGAGGATTTCCTGCCCTGCATTCTATTGATTAACACTGAGATCCACCCACCTTGCAGGGTCCTAGAGCCCAGGCTCAAGGCCAAGCCCAAATGTCTACATGGTGATTAAACAGCCCCTTAGTCTGAGCTCAGGGGCAGGTTTTTAACTGAAGTGCAGATATACCCTATATGTCTTGGACCATACATATGAAATCAACAAGAGTAAACATTGCTGTGGTTATTTTGAGAGAAGCGGGAAGTACTTAGTCTCTTAAAAAGCTGTTGGGAGAAAACATTACCTCGGATCACTCAATTTCTTTAATTTATCCAATCTTTTTTTCCCCTTCATTAGGATTTGCTTGAGTGACATCAACACTGGAATCCCAATCTGAATCCATGACTGAGAGCTGTAGTATAACCCTCACAATTTAATGAACTGCCAGGATCTGCTTCGTTACCTCAAACACCGAAGAATAAGAAGAGAACAGGAAAGGTAATTATCACATACTTCAGTCCCATTCATTCTCATTTACTTGCACTTTTAAAAATAAATAGATAATGTGAATTCAGTGCTTGTGGAAGATGTCATGTTGACAGCTCTGGGATATGAAAGTCTCTGTTTATTTATAGAGCACAGACTTCTACTTATCCTACAGAACAAGTGCGGTAGAGTGCAATCCAGCTCCCCTTCACTTCTATAGGTCTCCCTCTTCCATGGCAATTGGAGGTATGTCCACATGTGATACGTGTGATCATAGCATGTATAGACATAATTGAACTAACTTGGATATAGTGAGCTTAAACCGAGGCAGCTCATGTGGTAGCATGGGTTAGCTGCTTAAGTACACACTTTTGGTCCTGGGCAAGTTTGTACAGCCCATGCTGCCACCTGTGGTGTGTTAGTGGAGGTAGCTGTATCAAAGCTAACTTGGGTATGTCCACTTGTGCTGCAGTCACACCCCAATTGCAGTGTAGATATACCCTTAGACGGGACTTTAGAAATGATGTGTCTCCACTGTCTGTGAGGCTGTTGGGATTTGAGCACATTAACAAATGATTCACATACACCCCGACTGGGTCAGCTCTGCAGGAGATCCCTGTCTAGTGATGTTTGTTCGGGGTAGGTCTGTACTGGCCTTGGGGAGTAATAGGAGGAAGACTAGCAGGTTTTCCACACAGTGAACCCACACAGTGGATCTTCTCCTGAAGAGAAGCAGCCCTGGCATGTTGGGCAGCTCTAGGGCTGTAGTGGTGGTTGTGAAATGTTGCACTTTGCAGCTTGGAAGAGATAGAATGTCTTTACACACAACTTCAGCTGCTGTGAAGCCCCACTGCTGCAAACACATTCCTCAAGATTAGTGGGGGTGTAGCATGGATTTTGCTCCTAGTGAGCAGAGAGAAGAGCTGGCCAGATATTCTCCAATGGAATGTTTTTCCATTTGAGAATGTTTTTTTTTCCAGTTCTGTTTAAATGAAAGTCCAATGGAAGCAGGAAGGTTTCTGTCAGAAATCAGGCTGGTTTCTTTCCTGCTGGCGTGTGCAGCTCCTTAGCAGCCTGCCAGGTGCACTGATAGGGACCCAAGGGCTTGGAGCGCTGGGGACACCAGCTTCTAAGTTCCCAGGCTTCTTGGCTCCTCCACAGCTTGTGTAGCAGGCTGCCATAGAGCTAGCTCCCAGAGATACCAGGGCTACTGGCGCGTCCAAAGCTTGCCAGGTGGAATGATAGCTGGACCCTGGGAGCATTGGCTCCCAAACTCTCAGCCTGTGCTTCCAGGGCTTTCAGGGTCCCAGCTCCCTTTCATTCTACCTGGCAAGCTTCAGAAGCACTAATAGCCCTGGTAAGGGGAATCACAGCCACCAGGGATGAGACCAAATTTCAAATGTCTAAATCTTCCACAAAACTGAATTACCTTTATTTGCACAGCTTGAGTAGAGATGGATCTTGAGCCATGAAGTGTGGACCTGGATCCCAGCTTTCCAGAAACTACATGTGATTCAGAGGCAGTGTTTTGCTTCTGATCCATCTCAACTAATGAGTTGCAGTTTTGCCAACTTCAAGCATTCAAAAATCAGGAGTCCCGTCCCCCCCACAACACACACACACAATTCTTTTTTTTTTTTAGATATCAATGGCTCTTCTTTGAGTGATGGTCCCTAGTGTATCCCACTGTGAGTTAAACATGCATCTGGATCCAGAGAATTTGAAAGTAGTGTTGTTGGTCCACAGCTACATCCTGGCTCATCTCACGCCACCGTCCAAGGGGATAAAGGCAGGGTCAACTGACCGCCTCTCTAGTTCCTTCTCACTGCCGCATGGGCTGGATTGGAACCTTCAGTATTTGCAGCTTAGTCTTTGTCCTATCAAAATTATCTCATGTGTATAGAGTTTTAATAGCTTTTAGCTTTAATGCTTAGATTAGTCTTCTGGGGGAACCATCTCCTTCCCCTGTACTCTGGGTACCAGACTATGCTGTGGACTTGGGCTTTAAACTCAGTGCTTCCTGCCTGCAATCCTTCTTGTTCAGTAGCGACCACCAGAGCTGCCTGTACTGCCTTGGGAAGCCCACACTGCAGCAAGGTGCAGTATCTGCCTATTGTTCCAAAACTGAACCCGAGAAGGGGGGGAACTTCATCTCTGCAAATACCTCATGGAGAAGGCTGCAATGGGACCCAGGCTGGGGAACCTCCCATTCCTGTACATTCCCTGATTCAGCAAGGAATGTGCCTCCTGCTGTGAAGTGCAATTCTGGTGCAGGAGAATCTACCTCCACAGACTCCACTGTGGGGTCTTGTTGGGAAGTCAAGAAGCACTCTCGTAAGCATGAGACTCTCTCTCTAAATCCACTTCAAAGAAGTCAGATTTGGCTGTAAACAAGCCCATCAGCTTGGCCTATGAAGACTTAGTATGTCCTAAGTCCCAGAGGCATGACAAATAGCATTGGACTCCATTAATACCAGACCGTGTTCTATTGGTGCCATCATTCTCCCAAACCCCAAGATACACCAGCACCAACAAAGTCTGATCACCATCAGCTTTGGTCACCACCTTCCTCACTGGCTCTGGCAGGTGGAACAAGTAGAACCTCTCTCACACAGGGGAGATCTGAATCCGTTGCCACTCCACAGGACATTTTTGCTCTCCAGGATCTGGTATTCCTCCCACCCCCATCAGGTCCCTCTGTCTCCAGAGACATAATAATGCCATGGAAGGAGTCAGCTGCTGGAAGGAGTTTGTCACCTGTCCCACACTCAGAATACAACTTCCCTCCAACCAGTACCATCACTGGTATTCGAATCAGCCTTCTCTTCATCAGGAAATTCTGAACCACCCAATGAACCGTTTTTATCATCCTCCAGTGCTCAAAGACCTGCATCAGTTTGGGACAAACCTCCTTCTCATCTAACCTGGAGCCATTGATACCCTATGACATGGGGGCCTCCCAGGATCACATATTGAGCCCTCTAGGGTTGTTTTGGGGGCCTTGGGACCAGAGTCGATCCAATCTGCTAGGGAGTCACCCTTTGCCTCCCCTGTAAGGGGATACTCAGATCTGCCCCTGGATCTGACAAAAGAGGAGGATGAACATTATGCACCAGAACCAGCAATTCCACTGGAACCAGTGAGACTGCTGTCTTCATCTCTGGATGAAGCAGTGATTCCTACGTCTCCACCCCCATTGATTACTTCATACAGTTCCAGGACTTTCTTCACAGAGTTGCTGGAGAACTTCAAATACTTCTTGAAGAAAACTAGGACTCCCAGCACAAACTCTTAGATATTATCCAGTCATCTGGATCCAACAGAATAGTTCTCCCTGTTAATGAAGCCATACTGGAGCCAGGATGGAGCCAGGGCTGTGCCGGTTCGGCATACTCCTGCTACCTGCAGTTCCTCCCCAAAAAGAGTGGAGAAGTGTTACTATGTGCTAACCAAAGGAGTGGGATTTTTGTTTTCTCACTCCCTCCCATCTCACTGGTAGTCCAGCCACATCTGAAAGGTCTAAACAGCAACACCCCTAGTCTACTACCAATAAAGAAGGAAAACACTTGGATCAGTTTGAGAAGAAAGGTCTTCTCATCATCTAGCCTCCAGTTCCTGCCAATTATCAGGCACTAATGTCTAAATATGATTTTCTGAACTATGTCAACTTTGCAGAGTTTACTGTCAGCCTTATTCAGCAGGACAGAGCTTGTTTCAAAACTCTCTGATATACGAAGGCAAACTGATAGCCAGCATTGTTCTCCAATCTATCACTGATGCCACAGATACTTCTTCTAGAGCTATGGCTACTGCCATCATCATGTGCAGGGAGTCATGGCTGCATGCATCAGGGTTTCCAAAGGTAGTCCAGAATACCATCGAGGGCCTCCCCTTTAATGAATCTAACCTCTTCAACCAGAAGACTGAGTCCCTCCGTACCCTGAAGGATTCCATGGCTACCATCTGCTCACTGGAGATATATATGCCTGTCCCTAAGAGGAAGTTTCACTGCCCACCAATTCAGACCTAAAGGTATGGCTCAGCAGGTTTTTTTTTCCATCAGAGGCCCTATGAACTATTTCACAAAAGACAGATAGTTCAAAAGTCCTACTTCACCCACCCTCTGCAACAGGCTCAGAATCTCAATCTAAGCCCCTGGCTAGATGTTATTTTTGACAAGAGCTTGAGAGCTGAGAACACTAAGCCCAGCACCTCCTGACTCTTCCTCCCCACCCCACACACCATCTGGGGTTCGTCAAGCAGTCTGTCAACACCTGGAGTGCAATAACAATGGACAAATGGGGGCTGAACGTCATCCACTCTGGTTATTTGATAGAGTTTGCATCTCTAGCTCCTCCTAAATGCCCCTCTCCATATCCTTTCAGAGGCCGCTCTCACAAGAGTATTCTCAAACAAGTGTTTAACATACAGCAGAGAGGAGCAATAGAACATGGAAGCCTACATACCAAGTTCTATCATGATACACCACCTATTCTCACTGGGAGTCACCGAAATACCAAAAAATCTGTTCTCACTGTCACACAATCTCTGGACTTCATTGGGGCCACCTTGAATTTTTATCACTGTAAAAGCATAAGCATACCTGATCAAGGTCAGGTTCCAGACCATCAGATCACAAGCAACCCTTGAGTACCGATCAAGACATACATCTCTCTCTCTCCTAGGTCACATGGTCTTATGTACCTATATCACTCAGTTCACAAGACTCCACCTTCATTGCCTTCAAATGTGGCTGCAGTTGGTATACTCAGCAATCTGCCATTCCATGAACCTTGTGGTAATAGTTCTGACTAAGATAGCACCTTCCCTGATATGGTGGACAAATCCTCATCAGGTATGCATGGATGTTTCCTTTCTCCCTTCCTATCTGGACAGGAACTTTATTACAGATACATCCCTATTAGGTTGGGGAGCCCAAATGAACAGCCACACAGCAGACAGAACCTGAATGTCTCAGGAGACCAGGATGTATGCTAATA